GTATACAATTTCAGAAGTCCCCTCAGTCCCTGAAACTTATCCATTGGCCAATTAATAATTCTCTTGATTGGGAATCTATACTTTTCTGGCACATTTTGTGCCATCTATTCTTCTCCAGGGTTTTCCTTTCTCAATAATTATGAAGGTGGAGAAGGGAGAAGATAGGAGAGGGAAGGGAGAGGAAACAGGAGAGGGAAACTCCATCTACTTTTTGTGGTCTCTGTTCCAACTTGAATCCTACCACCATCCACCCTCACTGCTTTCCTTGACTCCTCTGACTAATCCTTTAACAGAGTTTTAATTTTTACCCTCTTTCTTTCTTTTCTCATCACCCTCTTCCCAAATGAGCCACTTCTTTTTTTCATGTTTATTTTTGCTTTCCCTTCTCCCTTGCTTTCAGTCATCCATGATACCCACCTCCTCGGGCTACTATGAAGATAAAAATGAAATATCAGTTTTGAAAAGGCTTCGGAAAGCTAAAAGTATAGTAGCATTACATGGCATTATAAGGATGACTATGGTTCATCTGTTCTTTGACGCGCTCAGTTTGCCCTTCCTTCACATCTTTTTTGTCACATCCTTTCAAAGCACAGCTTCCTTTTAGGCCCTCCTCTTTCTGCCCTTATGCAGGCATCTTGTCTGGTCTTTCTTCCACTTGTCTGCAGCATGATCTTGGCTGGTCTTCATCCTCCTTTGTCCAATTACTTGGCTCTGACAAAATGAATTCTGTTACACCCATCTTGGGATCAGAAAGAAACTGTATATCTCAACTTGCCTTCTACTGCCTCTTTTTTCTCTTTCCAGTGTTCTGGCCAAAACTATGAGATCACTTAGAATTTTGTAGGCCTGGTACCAGGCATGTTCAAAGAAATAGTGTTCAACTTATTGTCTTTGCAGCCAAATACTCAATATTTTGCTTGGAGTTTATTTTTCATTGTTCTTGACCCCATTCTCTTTTCTTTAAGAGGCAATTAAACATAGGTTAGGCTGGAGCAAGTTCAGTCTTTGGTGAATGGCTTCAAGATTCATGGAGTATTGTTTTTGTGATGAGAGAAACTCATTTGATCATGCGCTAGGGAGCAGGAAAGCAAACAGAGATAAAGGTTGTAGATACAAAAAGAGATTGACTTTCGAGGACAAACAGTGTGACAAGCAGAGGGGGGATACCCTTCCACTGAAGGGCGATGTGCAGAGATGCAGATAAAATGGCAGCAAATTGGAGGCATTTCTACCAGATGGCATGTTTTCTCAGGAAATTAGGGAGTGAAACAAATTGCTAAGAATAAGAAAGGTGGGTTCCTTAGGAGGCTTAAAGACACAGGGAAATGGGTAATGTAGCCAACTTCTGGACACATGGAAAGAGTACCAAACAGCATGAGCTTGTGGTGGTATCAATTCACCAAATGTATTAATTCTGTTTTTTACTAATGCTTGGGCTCAGAGTTGGGCTTTACAAAAGTTGAGTAGTGAAGAAATAGAAGGGGGAAATGGAGTTGAGGATTTTGTAAGATTATAGTTCAAAGTAAAGTCCCCTACATACAAACATTCAAGTTACAAACTTTAGTACTTGTGCTTTTTTATGTATTATTTCACTCCACTGGGTGTCAGTATAGCCTTTTAAATACATACAGTACTATATAGCCTATTGTGTTAGTTGGCTACCTAGGCTAACTTTGTTGGACTTAGAACAAATGAGCTTATGAATGTGCTCTCAGAATGGATCCCACTCACATGTTGGGAATGTCCTGTATTGAGCCCATATTAAAATAAACAGGGGAGGTAAAGGTGAAGATTAGAAAAAATAGAGGAGTCAAAAGACTGTACATTTTACTGAAGTAGAAAAATAGATGGAAAGGTAACAAGAAAGTCAACAATCTGGGAAGTAGGAAGTAAGAGTCATGACTGAGCATGAAAGAATACTATTTCAGACATGGGAGAGATCTTGGTGATGACAAAGTTCTGAGTGCAGCCATTTGGAGTGGGTAGCAGAAATAAATGGAGTTGTTTTTGGAAGATGAGGAAGCATGAGACTAGATTCTGTCTGAGTCATCCATAGTGAAATTAAATTTACCAAGATGGTAATGAAGCAGTAACCAAGCTTCAAAACCCCTAACAAAACTGGGTCTTGCTGAGAAGTTGGTAGAAGACAGAGGACACAAAAGTAGTAGATAATATATACAAATGACATGCACTTTAAGTGAGGAAGAACTTTTATATAAGGTTGGAGAAAAAAATAGTCTGCAAGTGGCAAGAGAACACTAGGAAAATGTTCACCTCTTCCAAGCACCATAGGTATATGGAACTAGGAAGAGGAACAGAAGAGTTGCAGTGTCCTCAGAGAGACTGGAGGTCAATGAGGCACACTGTGAAGATGTTAAAAGAGGTTTGCAATGGGGCATAGTTCCAGGTGACACCACCATATGGAGCTTTGGAAGGAAGGTCAGAAAGGGAAGGATGAATCACAGGGAGTGGGGGTGGAGGCATGCAAGCCACAGCACAAAACGATCTAAAGACGAAATCCTAGAGAACCTGGCTGGCTAGAGGAGCTTGCTCATGATCCAGCAAGGCATCTTGAGGGCTTGAAAGTGGAAAGACTCTGCAAGGTTACCTTGGCACACCATGAGGCTCACATGTGATGCAGTCATCTTTGACTAACTGTTCATTCAATGAGAATCCCATCGATTTTTCCCATTCTCAGTGTTTCCAAGATCCATCTCTCTCGTCTCAGCCTCATCGTCATACCTCAAGCCCAGATTAATGTAGACTAATCCTAGCTGGGCTCTGCAGCACTAGGCTTTGTTCCTGATGATCCCTCCACTCTGTAGTTTTCAAAATAATCTTTATTAAGTACATCTTTACCCATATCCTTCTCTTGCTAATAAAGAAAATAAATAGGCTCTTTTTTGAGCAGGAATGTCACAGAAGTCATCTCATAATCCCAGCACCTTTTATCCTGGTATTTTCTCTGAAATAGGTTGTTTATCTCCCCAGTTCCAAAGCTGACATCAGACGTGTTGCCAGCTAGGATTTATAGCGTTTAATAAAGGTGCTTCTTGGGTTCATCGCAGTTAAATCTATAACATCTATTTCTCAGGATCATCATCTTACTTTGCCCTGTATATTTGAATGAGAGTCTATATGTTTTTAATATTTAAAAGAAATATCCAAAATTAACGTTTTAAATAAATGTTCTTGTACAAGTGTCAAATTCCATATTTAATTTTAGTTTCTCTGAAACTAAATTTTTTAAGTTTAGATTTTTTTTTTTTGCTTTGATAGCTTTAGTGTACAAATGGTTTTTGGTCTGGGCTTTAAGTGTACCCATCATCCCCACCTGTGCACATTGAACCCAACAGGTGATTTTTCATCCCTCCACCCCTCCCCCCTCCCACCTTCTGAGTGTCCAGTGTCCATTATACCATTCTCTATGTCTTTGTGGACTCTTTGGCTCCCACTTATAAATGAGAACATGTGGTGTTGGGTTTCTGTTTCTGAGTTAGTTACTTAGGATGATGTCCTCCAATTCCATCCAAGTTGTTTTCCCAGTGCCTCTGGAGCTGCCAGTGGTCTGTGATGATCCAGGCAAGAGTCCGGCTAGTTCCAGCCCAGGTCGATGGATTTTTCTCTTCCTTGAACTATATGGTTTTATCACTTTTTTTGATGAGTTGTGGGGCATGCTGCTGCTCCTGTTCCTCTCCGGGTGTTATGTTGGTTTACTCCATAAGGCACACACTTTAGCTGCCTCATGTAGGCCATCTTAAGCTGAATTCCTTAAGTACAGATTTTATTATCCTTCTCTTTTTAAATTTCTCCTCTTTTCTCTTGTCAAGCAAGAAAGTATTGATAGTATTATACATTGTGTGATCCTTTTATCTAAAGAATGTTATATAATTTCTCTAAATTATACTGGATTATTGGATTGAACTGAGAGTCATTGTCTAAGCAGAATTGGTCCTCTATATTGGGGTCATTTTTTAAAATTTTTAATCGTAAAGATATGGGGTACAATTCAGGGTTAGGTATACAAATATTCATTATGCAGGTACCCTTGTTGATGAGGTGTGCCCCACCCTTGGCAGTTTCCCACTACTGCCAATCCCTTTCTTATAGTATTATGATAATTTTTCAAGGTCCTCTTGTGAGTGGTACTCTGTTCTTTGTTTCTGTGATAGATCACTCAGTATTTTAGACTCTGAGTCCATCCAAATTGCTGTGAAGTTCGGGGTCATTTCTTTGCATATTTTCCTCGGGCTTGGAGAGCAGCTCATGAGTACTAGCCTTACTTCAACAATACAGCTGTGATATTTGGTGTGTGTGGTCATTCCCTTAGTCCATTCATAACACCGGCAACCCTTATCAAGATATGTCCAACAGAACCATTCACTCCTGCACAACCAACTCACTTCTTGTCTTGCCTCTTTTCACTCTAAGTTAGTGCAAGGTAATGAGGTGACATTTTTCTATGAGCTGGGAATGGAGGAGGAGGTGAATATGATAGGAAGTTAATAAGTACAGGAAGCCAGAGCTATCACACCTCCCCGTAAATTTCCAGGGAAGGTGCATTATCTAGTCTGAGGACAGAGCAAGTCAGAAGGGCCCACACCCACATATTTGCTACTTTTTGACCCTTTTGGCATCAACACTCTCTAGGATAATGGTTCAATGTCTGTCTTCAAATGAGAGCCATAAAGAAGATCATCAGCACTCCTACCCATTCTTGTGGATTAAGTGAGGAGGGAAGGGTGAAGTGATTTTAGTCCGAACAAGAGCTTTCTTTTATTTGGGAACAAAAACCTAGAAGAGACAGCTCCCCCTCCCACACCCCCACCCCCCGTAAAGGAAAAGTGTCAGTATATGAGGGTTGGGGCAGGGACCCAGGTTGCCTGAGTTTGAGGGGTGATATGGAGGTGTGCATTTCCTTATGAACATTAAGCAATGCAGATCATCATATAATAATAATAATGAAAATAATAAATAATGGCGACTTCATATTCCTTTAGGAAAAAAACTCGGATATACCTTCAACAATCGAAACTTTCACAACGTGTCTCTGGGGCAAGGACAGGAGGTAGTGGCGGAGGCTGCGCTGGACCTTGCTGCCAAGAAAGGTCACTGGGTTATTTTGCAGGTATGCCCCCATGCCCTCCTCTGGGTCATTTTTACCCATGCCTGTTTGGGCCTCATCCTACAGTCTCTTGGCTCTTCTGTCCACTTTTAGCTTCTCCTCACCTGTCCTGTTACACCTTTATCCCCTTCACTTTCTCATCTCTCCTTCCATTTCTCCTCACTCACATGTTCTCTTCCTTGTGCCACCTCCAAAATCTCTTCAATATCTGCCACTCTCCCTAGTTTGAATAGCTCTACTTATAAAAGGAAGTAGATGCCCACTTGGTTGGCATTTATTAATAGCTGAAGGCCATGGCAGCTGGACTCTTTCAGTGACTGGTTTCTTCCTATGAATTTCATGGGGCCTTCCTCTGCTGTACCTTTCTGCTGTATCATGTGTAATACACTCTTTGTTATATGTCTGACTAGAACATGGGAGCAACCTTAGCCTGTTCAGTGAGAGTTCATGTTGGTGTTTGGAAATCTGGAGCAGCTACTGCTGCTAATTTCACCAAACACTTGCAAAGCAAAAAAGGCTACCTCTCTTCTGTCATGACCTGTCCTCTTAATCCTCTTGTATGCCTCTTGTAAGGATACTGGAGTTGTGGCAGAATAAGTAGTATTCTCCTTTTTTTCCTAGAACATTCTACAGTTACTTCTATTGGAGCTCCATTGCCATGTTGACATGATTTATTATCTGACTGTGTTCTTCACTAAATTTCCTTTAAAAAGAGATGTTCCTGGTTTACCTTTGATTACCCAGCCCACTGCCTTGAACACAGTAGATACTGAAACAAAATGCTAGTAGGTGAAAGAATCAATGAAGAGTTTAAATAAAGAAAAAAGTCAGTCACTCCCATCTCTCCCTGGCTTCTATTACCAGTAACTTCCTCTGTCTCTGAATTCACTCACTACACCACATCTTGTTGCTGGGTCTTTGTCTTTGATTGTTTGTTATTTATTTGGAGTCTAGCAACTAAGGGATATGCCACTACCTGGGACTCCTTTTTCAGAAACAGTGGGAATCTCAAAAGAAAAGATGATGATACCTGTGGTCCCTAACTCCTCCCATGTGGATCAGTACAGTGCTGAGAGGTATGACCTCCCAACCCTCTCAGAATCATTTACCAAGAGAGCCCCTTCTGGGCACTAGCACTGGGAACCCGCCACTCAGCATAGAGATTAAAGTTTGTTTCTGAGACGGTGGTACTGCCTCCCAGGGGTCCATCCTCCCCCAACATCTACTGGCTACCCAGGACATGCAAATCTTATGCTGATGTGATTGCTGAAAATTCTTAAATATTGAACTTAGAACTTCTCCTTTAATCCCTTGTGATTGAGAATTTTTCCAAGGAAAGTTGCACCAAACATTCTGGGCATCTGTCTGTTCCCCCAAATTAAGTATTTGAGTGTTAAATAGATATAATCTGTCCAAACTGTAAAGTACTAACAGAAACAAAAGATTCCTACTTGTTTGTGAAATCTTTCCTAGAAATTGTAGCTACTGTGGTTCTAGGAATTCCTTGAAGTATTGAACTAGATTAGACTGGATCCCTACAGAATAGTTTTTCCCAACCTATAAGCCCAAGGGATTCTCTGAAAAAGAGGAAAAATAGTTAAGAAGTTCCTTTGGAACTTTGGAAGATATTACATACAAATACCATTCAAGAAGAGTCTCAATGATATCAATAAGTTAATGATTCTGAGAATCTGGTGGTATTGAAATCTTGTCCCATCCAGTGTCTCTCAAACTAAGTTGAACACAGACTTTTTCTATAGATCTAACATCTATTCATATCCCACGCATACCGCACACTTTCAGGAAATGTTGCTTGAGGACCTTACCTCAGATTATCTAGGGATTCTATCCTGGGAAAGCTGGCTTTGAAGGACCTGGGTGAGAGAACAAGGTTCAGAATCTTTCCCCTTTTCCTTCTTGGCTATAGTAGCTATTGAGTGGTTTTCCCAAGTTCTGCCATATTCAGGCTCTTAAATCCCATGGGGTAGCTCTCAGGGATCTCTGAATCCACCCCAAGCTTCTATCCCTAAACAACAGAGGTTCTTTCTACCAGTCCTGCCCTGCCCAGTTGCAGAGGTTGGCATTCCAGAGGAAGCAGTCACATTACTCATTTGTGGGTTGCTGGGGATGCTGGCTAATGGAAACCCTGGCTCCCTAGGTAGCCCACTAAACTCTCTGCTCCCATAGAGTGATTATAAATGAATTCTTCAGCTTAAATTTTCATCTCAACAGTCACTACCAACTTTACATAGTATTTTACAGTATTCAAAGCTCTTTCAAATCCATTACCTTTGGTCATTTGCAGCAACTCTGTGAAATAAGTATGGCAAACATTATTGTTATTTCTCTTTTTATGGAAGAGAAAGCAGCACTCAAAGACCAAATTATTATTGTGCAAGTACTGTGCTCAGTGCTGATCTGTATATTTAAGGCTCTGCATGCTTACTTCCTCAAATATTTATCGAGCTTTTATCTATCCATTATAATGAAACATATTGCAATGAAGCCAAGTGACTATTCTTACTAAATTGAAAGGTGCACTCTAAAAAGTAGTGCTAAGAAGTAAATGGAGGTTTTGATAGATAGACAGGCAGACAGACAGACAGCTAGGAATCAGATTTATAGGAAGGAGAGAGGCTCAAAGACCAGACAGAGAAGTTTGAGATTGGAGTAGAGAACCTTTGTGAGTCTTTGAGCCGAAGTGACTCAGTGTGTTTTCAGAAGATAAGTTTGGCAACAATTAGCAGAACAGTTTGGAGAGGAGGGAGAGAAGACTCGGGAAAGCTAGCTAGGAAGAGTTTGAATCAGTGCCCTTCAAATTGTAATGAATCACTGGAGGATCTCATTAAAATGGGCTGATTCAGTATGTCTGGGTGGGATTCTGCATTTCTAACTAGGCCCAGGTAATGCCCACAAGGCTGGTCCATGCACTCCAATTTTGACTATCAAGAGCTCAAGTGATCCAGATGCCAGGTGATGGGAAATTGGATTTGGAATATAACTATGTGACAGACTCTTAAAGTGTGGTCCCTGGACCAGCAGCATCAGCATCACCTGGAAACTTATTAGAAATACAAATGATCAGTCCCCACCCTAGACCTGCTGAACTCTAGGGTGGAGCCCAGGAATCTGTGTATTTAACAAGTCCCTCCAGGGGATCCTCATGCACAGTCAAGATTGAAACATTCTGTTGGAAAGCCTTAGGATATCAAAGACAGGGTTTAATTGCAGGATACTAGGAGGTCCCCATTACTGGGCTTTCCAAGACTCTTTCCATGATATGATTTAAGATTTTTCTGCCATAAAAAGGCATTGGGTTGTGCAACAGTGTAGATGGAATGTCATCGAACTGTACATTTAAAAAGTGTTGAGAGGCCGGGCTCGGTGGCTCAGCCTGTAATCCCAGCACTTTGAGAGCCCAAGGCAGGTGGATTGCCTGAGCCCACGGGTTTGAGACCAGCCCAGGCAATTTGGCGAGACCTCGTCTCTACAATAAATCAAAAATTAGCCTGGTGTGGTAGCACGCGCCTGTAGTTCCGGCTACTTGAAAGGCTGGGGCGGAAGGATCGCCGGAGCCCAGCAGGTCGATGCTGGGGTGGCCGTGAGTGTACCACTGCACCCCAGACTAGGTGACAGAGTGAGATTCCAACTCAAAAAAAAAAGTGTTGAGATGGTAAATTTTGTTACGTCTATCTAACTGCCATTTTAAAGTATATATATGATTTGACGCTAAGATGAGGTTCTTCCTCTACTTGCCTTGCTACTAACTGTTACTGCTAACAAAGCTAAGCAGGTGCCTGCATTGAGGGGTCCTTCCTTCCTACCAGAACATCCACCTGGTGGCCAAGTGGCTTAGCATCCTGGAGAAGAAACTGGAGGAGCACAGTGAGAACAGCCATCCAGAGTTCAGAGTCTTCATCAGTGCAGAGCCAGCACCCTCCCCTGAGAGCCACATCATGCCCCAGGGCATCCTGGAGAACTCTATTAAGATCACCAATGAGCCCCCCACGGGCATGCATGCCAACTTGCACAAGGCTCTGGACAATTTCACTCAGGTACTGCCCTGGGAAAGCCTTAGGATATCAAAGACAGGGTTTAATTGCAGGATACTAGGAGGGAAGAAGAGCAACCCTCCTCACAAAGAACTGATGCAAAACGGGTTGAAGAAAAACATGCAGCTCAGGGGGCGTGGGTGCTGACTGGACTACAGAACAGCTCTGATGTGGGCAAAATGTATTCCCTTTGCAATTGACCTCCACCCAATGCCCACCCAGGCCAGCTCTGCTCTCCACTGCCAGGTACACCTAGAGGAGGCGAGCCCAGGACCTTTCTTTGGCAAGAGGTGTAGGGGAGCTTTCTACAAGTCTACTGTTAACTAATTTTCCAAAGTGGAGAAGTGCATGTTGCTATAAATCTGACTGATGTAATATACTAGGTCATATACCAATTGGCTAAAGATACTATCTTCAGGGGGATGACTACTTTCAATCAGATGATATCACTCGACATCTGCATGAAAATCTTCAGTATCAAGGGTTCACATAATCTAGGCATCAAGTAATAGGTATCTGGACTTGGAATATAACTGGTTGTTAGTGTCTTAAAGTATGACCCCCAGGCCAGCATCATCAGCATCACCTGAGAACTTGTTAGAAATACAGATTCTCAGGCTCCAATCTTAAACTCTGGGCTTGGGTCCAGGAATTTGTATTTTAAAAAGCCCTCTAGTTGATTCTCAGGTACAGACAAGTTTGAGAATACTCCAAAGAGACCTGAATTTCAAAGCATAGAGTTCAAATGCAGGCTACTACATTACTTGGAATTTCCAATACTGGGACTTGCAAGACTTGAGTTGTAGAGTGTTTATTTAAAGCCAAGTCTTAGCTCATCGTGGCCAACTTCAAGTCAAAGTCAGACCTCTTTCATCTTTTCAAGAAGGCACCATTTCTTGTTATTTTTTCCTTGGGAATTCAACCTCTCTGAGGAGGGGAGTACACAGGGTCCTGAATACCAGGAGGGTGAGAATACCAGGGGATTACCTTAAAGTTCATCTGTCACACCAGACCTTGGTGAAACACAAGGGAAAATTCTAGCAGCAGCTGCTGGGGAGATTTTCCTCTCTGTTGTCATCTTATAATAGCACCAACATCTCTGATTTCACAGAAGCCATGCTAAAACTCACAAGTCCCAGATGGGTCATCTAGTTAATTGGGACTAACCCGACATAAACCTTTGGGGCCTGATTTAAACTTAAAATAAGATGACTATGCAGTATTCAGAGTTTTAGAAGATTTTACTGGTCACATGATACCCTTCATAGCATAGGAGCCACACGGTACAACTTGGAAAGGGAAACTTCCACAAAGATTTGAGAAGCAAAACTTGTTCAGTCCCCTTCTTCACTCCCCTTTACAAACCAGCTCCAAAACCCACACATCATTTGGAACAGAGAATGGGAAAACATTAATAAGAGACTCAGGATATTTTCGCTTAAAGTTTTCATTTTAAGAAATACACTGGACTGGGTGTGGTGGCTCACGCCTGTTATCCCAACACTTTGGGAGGTCAAGGTTTTGTCTCTACAAAAAAAAAAAAATAGCCAAGCATGATGGCATACACCTGTAGTCCCAGCTACTCAGGAGACTGAGGCAAAAGGATTGCCTGAGCCCAGGAAACTGAGGCTGTGGTGAGTCATACATGATTTTGCCACTGTACTCCAGCCAGGGTAACAAAGCAAGACACTGGCACACAAAAAAAGAAAGGGCTGGCATCAGTGGCTCAGCCTGTAATCCCAACACTTTGGGAGGCCGAGGCAAGTGGATTGCCTGAGCCCGCGGGTTTGAGACCAGCTCAGGTAACTTGGAGAGACATCGTCTCTACAACAGAAAAATCAAAAATTAGCTGGGTGCGGTAACACATGCGTGTAGTTCCAGCTACTTGGAAGGCTGAGGTGGAAGGATCGCCAGAGCCCACAGCAGGTCAATGCTGGAGTGGCCATGAGCATGTCACTGCACTCCAGTCTGGGCTACGGACTGAGACTCCAACTCAAAAAAGAAAGAAAGAAAGGGTGGTGGGGGGAGAGGAGGAAGGAAGGGAAAGAGCAAAGGAGGGAGGGAGGAAGAAAGAGTCAGAAGGTGGGGTTCTCTTTTGTCCAAGGGCATCTCATTTCTTTTTTATTTTTTCTCCAATAGACCTTGACTGAACTCCTAGGCACTCTGTACTAGATGTCAAAGCTTCTGAATTTTCAAGGTTTTATATTCTAGGTAGAAAAAAAACCACATTCTTAAATATTAAATCTGCAACCTTCCTTATGGGTGACTGTAGCTAGTTTCAAGCAAACATTTCTGCCTCTCAAAGGCTTTGGATTGCACAATGCGAGTGCACCCAGCACCACTGAACTGCAACACAAAAATGGTGAAGATGGTAAGTTTTGTGCATATTTACCACAATTTTTAAAAAATCAAAAGTTGGGAGGAAATGGCATTAGAATGCTATTCGCTAGCTCTGCTGAAGGCCCTGGTGTCAGGTCAATCTCAGCTCTCTGCCTTGATCTTGGGCAGTCGGAGGAGAGGAGCAGATACCTTTCATGCTATGTCTCCTAATAACATTAGCCCTCAGTAGGATCAGTGTCATCTACGTCACACCTGACTTCATCTTCTCAGCTTCCCCATAGACTGTTGTTCTTGGGCCTATCTTCTCACAAGCCTGGTGTCCCATCTCTGTCACTGGGCAAGTGGGAGATATAGTATATCCTAAGAGATGCTGGCTTTTCCTGGTTATTCTTTCCCTAGTTTTTTCACCACTTAGGGCTGCTTTCAGTACTTCATTATGAGAAGGAGAAATGGACTTACAAGTATATTTATTGTTCACAAGAGTTTTAATTGCTCCATTCTACTTTTACAAGTGTCAAGAAACAGAGGCTGTAGAATGCCCTATAGTCACCTTGTTCCTTCAGATCCCCATTTTAACTATTTAAAATACAAATTTCAGAACTGAGCTCTTTCTAATCTCTGCTTCCCTGAGAGCTGTGCTGTTTAGAGATGATTGTTTTATTCTGACTTTTGTTTGAGTACACCACTGTCAGCCTGTTTTGACATTTTAACATGTGATTTCTTGTCTTTGTGCATAAAGGCATTTTTCAGCGAGACCCAATTTTTTCAACTGTGTAAGAAGTAAATGAACTATCCTGCATGTCTGTAGAGGACAGATCCATGCCAAAAGCAGTTTTATTAAATTCTTGCTTGTACAAGGCAATGCCCTTGTCCTCTACACCACCTCTGACCTTCCACATTCATGCCTTTGTGGCGGGCATGGCACCCAATGATAGCACCACAGGGACTCCACGTATCCAGAGAGAGATAGAGATTATGTTGTGGGTGCTTCTTGGAAAAGTCAGACCTACCAGAAGCTCACTCTGTCCTGTCCCCTCTGCTCCTGTTGCCCATGTGAGCAAAGTCTAAGGCCAATTCCTGGAAGAAATTCCAAGACTGATCCCAATCTAATTTGCATAAACTTTGAGCATGCCTCTCTTGGCCTCCAGCTGCAACATCTTGCTCTATCTGAACAGAGAGAGTCTCACCCAGAGGAAATTATTGTTAATTTCAAAGAACCCAGAGGATTCTGTCCTACCAACCCTTCAAATGCAGGCTTTTCCCCTCTCCACCATCACCATCATCCCCCTTAAAATCTGCCAACCACCACTCCATTGTTTGCCTCTGACATCCCATTTCTCTTTTCCTCTATCTGTCTCTTCTGCCATCCCTTTGTTGTGCACCACATCTTTCCCCTGCCTCGTGCTCTGCAGCCAAGACCCCTCAGACCCTTATTTCCTCAGCCTTGTGTCTGGTCACCCCTGTGAAGGTCTGGTGACACAGTAAGGTTGGTGAAGGCACAGCATGCCTCCAGTTCCTGCGGCTCTGGTTCTCATCCTCTCGCTCATTCAGCAGCTCCCCAGATGAACTAGGGATTCCTTAGTCATATGGTCAGTGATAGAACTCACTAAGGGTCCACAGTGGGTAAGAAAAGCATGGCAGGAAGGTAAGATACTAGAGATGATGCAGTGGGAGTCCCCACCTATGCCCCGATGCACAGTGACATTATGTAACAAACATGACACCCTCATGGCCCACTGCCCTGTTCTTTATTATCTCTGCTAGTCAGCACATCCATATGTGCAAACTTGAACCATAAACCAAAGCCCCTTTATAATGTGAATCAAATCTTGGCTCAAAATCTACACTAGAGCAACCCCCTCAGGTCTCCTTCAACTGTGGGAGCTTGTCTGTCCTCTCAATAAATCTTGTTTTAAGAAAAAATTCTACGCTGAAGCCCAACCCTTTTGCAAGTTCCCCTCAAGCTCTGACCTTGTGCCTAGATGCAATGCAAGCTGTATTCTCACTGTACTTGAGCCCTCTCTGGGATCTATGGTAACTTTCTCCAATGTGAAGCCTGATTGTCACCCCATGCTAGCCTGTTCCAAGTAAGGAAACTGTGTGTCAGCATTGGAAATGATGTTTTCCTTTCAGGACACTCTGGAAATGTGTTCCCGGGAGACAGAGTTTAAGAGCATCCTCTTTGCTCTGTGTTACTTTCATGCGGTGGTGGCAGAAAGACGAAAGTTTGGGCCCCAGGGATGGAATCGCTCGTACCCCTTTAACACTGGGGACCTCACCATCTCTGTGAATGTACTCTACAACTTCCTGGAGGCCAATGCAAAGGTAAAGGAAACAGACAATCACGGACCAACCATTTCAGAAGTAGGTCAGGAGGGTCACTCACACCTCAGAAGGATGATGCTGTGTCACCACACAAAAGAAGAGGCAGATGCACTCAGGAAAGGCTACACCTGACACAATGGGGATGAGGAAGTGCCAATCCCAGGACCAGCTGAGGCTGAGAACAGTACAATGATGAGGGCAAAGCCGAGGATGCTCAGGAAACCAAACTAGTGACTCATGCCCCATGGGTCAGTCCCATGAGAGTTTGTCCCAGGACCACCAGACCACCCCTGTGTACTTGTGCACTCACAGCATGGTGGGTGGGCTATGAATTGGCAAGAAGTGACCCCACACTCACCTAATGTAAGATCCCAAACTTGATTGATTGTTGCTCTTCCAGTGAAGGGAGTGTTTACATCACTGGGGTTATTCTAGTTCATGGACCAAAGACAGAATCAGCAGACGAGGAAAATGCAACAGTCCCAGATGCCCTGCGAAATCTTTCTGCCTCCAACCACTGGGACCTAGGAAGCCCATCCCCACAACACTATCCCTTTATTTGCTGGCTTCCCCCACAAAGTTTCACACCAGTGAACTTGTATGCTGCATTTCACTCACTTTGAACTTTCAAAGGGGATAATTAATTAATCTTATAATTAATGACAGAAAATTAGAAAAATGCTCTGGTCCTCACTTTTCTCCATTTGATATCCACTTTTTTTTTGAGTAGGGGATCTCATTCTGTCACCCAGGCTGGAGTGCAGTGGCACGATCATAGCTCACTGCAACCTCAACTTCCTGTGGGTCTCAGCCTCCTGAGTAGCAGGTGCTTGCCACCATGACTAGCTGATTTTGACATTCACTTATTTTTTAAAATTATTTTATGTTATATTCAAGGGGTACATGTGCAAGTTTGTTACATAGGTATACTGGGTGGTGGTGAGGTTTGGGCTTCTAGTGAGCCTGTCACTCAGGTAGTAAACATGGTACCCAGTGTTTTCAACCCTTAGCCCCCTCCCTCCCACCTCCCTTAGGAGTCCCCAGTGTCTGTTGTTCCCCCTTGTTATGCCTGTCTGTATTCAATGTTTAGCTCCCACTTACAAATAAGAACATGCAGTATTCAGTTTTCTGTGTATGCAATAATTCACATAGCATGATGGTCTCCAGCTGCAACCGTGTTGCTGCAAAGGACATGATTTTGTTCGTTTTTCCAGCTGTGTAGTATTCCATGGTGTATATGCACCACATTTTGTTTATCCAGTCCACTGCTGACGGGCACCTAGGTTTGTTTCATGTTTTTGCTATTGTGGACAGGACATTCATCTATTTAAGGGCTTCTAGGAAGAGCCTGACTTTATTGTTACAGTTAGTGACCATGAAAGAGGGAAGACATATGTGTGGAGGGGGAATAGGGGGTTTGGCACCTTGCCTTTCCTCAGTCTTTGATGTAACTCTTCAAGCATTTAAGCTCCACAAACATACCTGAGTCTGCTGGGGTATGAAGATAAATAAGCCATCACTCCTAATCTCAAGAAGCATTCCATTTTGTGGCTTATGAGCTGCCCACACATCAGGCCAGCACCAATGCCTTTGTGGAGGTCTTCCTTCCTTTCTTCTTCCCCTGTTTCTCAGGTACCCTATGATGATTTGCGCTACCTGTTTGGTGAGATCATGTATGGAGGCCATATCACAGATGACTGGGACAGAAGACTCTGCAGAACCTACCTGGAGGAATTCATTAGACCAGAAATGTTAGAAGGAGAACTGTCTCTGGCTCCGGGGTTTCCACTCCCAAGCAACATGGACTACAATGGTTATCATCAGGTGAGGCTCTGCTCTTTGCTTATGATGTGTAATGGTGCTCACCAAGAACCTGGGTGTTCCTCCCACACTAACCTGCTCAGCTGGAGCTGCTTCAGCTGGGACATCACTACAGGCTGCAGGAGGGGGTCAGGGCAAAAGAGTTTAAATAGCTGAACTTGTGTCAAATTTGGTTCTCTGCCCCAAGTTTGCCCTGTTCAACTTGAGAGATAATAATAAAATTGAGCCTTTGGAGATCTTTTTATTCTTGATGTTTGGTTCGATAACTTTATTTGTTGCTCTTTTCTACAAATAACATCCGGGATAGTTATTTGGCTATATTCATTCAGGACATTGACAAAGTCATTATTAATAGTGTAAAATTTCAGGTAAGAACTCAGCCAACTTTTGGTAACGTTTTTATTCATGATTCTAAGTATCTTCAGAGGACTATGATCTTGTGGCCAGATCACTAATACCTCCTATTCCCTGTTGGTTGCTATGAATACAGGCATATACTGCATACACATGCCAAGAGAAGTATTCTCATGAAGGTTTTTCATACTATTACTTTTTAAAAATATTACTGTTACTACAGCTATTTTAAAAGTATTCATCTTTGCCTATTTCATCTACCATCAAAAATGTATCAAAAGATAAATTTTTAAAACTGCTTTTATTGCTGGGCATTTGAACATACCTAAAAGAACTCTTTAATATCAAACTTAAGGGAAATACTAGTCATAGGAATATTAACTAAAAGCTTTAATTCTTTGTTAATTCATAAAACTTAAGGGGGTGCCATAAAAGCCATTAGATCCAGAAATGGATCAAAATGAACCTATGAGTAGAAATGAGTAGAAATTTAAAACAATAAGACTCTTTAAGAAAAATAATAGGAATTGTTTTAACGACTTAACCAAAGGCTTCAAGGCTCTACCCAGGAAAATTGTGCAAGGGCAACCCCTAGTGTCCATGAGATAATTTGACAAGAGGCTGGAGCAGGTGACTGGCAGAGGTCTGGTTCTCTTTTCCAGTAATAATATGGGTTGCACACTTCAGATGACTGAGGCACACTCTCCTTTCTTTATGCCTCTCATTTGTCAGTTAAGAGACGATTATTGGGTGTCTACAGAAAGTCCAAGAGTAAGCAGGGTGCTGAAGGAAATGCAAAACTAAACATACAAATGTGCCTTTGAGGCATGAGTAGTATTTTACCAAGAGTAGATATTAATAACACCCAGAAATTACCAAAATCATATTAGAGGCTAAACGTGAGGAGTATTTTCTCACCATCATAAAATGATCTTTGAAGAAGTACTCAAAACATCTGGGGAAGAAAGTGAGCCTTAAATGCCAGGGAGGATTTTGTAGGCATGTAAGCACTGGCCAAGGAGAAATGTTGTTTGGTGACACACTGTTTGAAACTTTTAAAATTTGGATGCTGGCTGGGCGCGGTGGATCACGCCTATAATCCCAGCACTTTGCGAGGCTGAGATGAGAGGATTGCCTGAGCCCATGGATTCGAGACCAGCCTGGGCAACTTAGTGAGATCTCATCTCTACAATAAATTTTTTTAAAAATTAACTGGGCGTTGGTGGCACACGCCTGTAGTTCCAGCTACTTGGAAGGCTAAAGTGGAAGGATGGCCTGAGCCCAGTAGGTTGAGGCTGCAGTGGCAGTGAACATGCACCGCACTCCAGCCTGGGCAACAGAGTGAGACTCCAACTAAAATAAAAATGTGGATACCTATCAGCAGAGACGTGAACTCTCGAGTCTGTAGCCAAGGTCACCTCACTCATCCTACAGCCCCATTCACATGTTTATTTTGTGTGTACAGTCTTGTGTCTAAGTTTGTCATCCCTGATTTATATAAACAGGGGAGAGAAAAAGAATTAAATGGGGAGAGGTCTGGGATCTTAGAAGGATTTTAAGTAAAAATATCAGGGAGGGATTCCTATTTTTGAAAGACTTTGAGAAGTCCCCGTTGGGTCTACAGGGACAAGAGTATATCAGGGAACCATGGGAAGGAGTGGGATGGAGAGGGATAAAGTTGTCTAAGCTTCCCCAAACAGAGGATGATATAATAAATGTGGAAGTTCTGGAAGACTGGTCCGGCCTACAAAAACAGATGTTGTCAAGGTGCTCTAGTGGGTACACTAATAGGTGGCACACATGCTGAAGCCAGCCAGGGTTGCTGGGCAGTGCCCCCTAGAGGGCCACTTGTGCCTGAGAACTGTTCTCTCCTGCCGGCCGCCCTGCAGAGAACCAGCTGGTGTGGGTGATGGGAGACAGGTCTTGGTGTCTTTTTAAGTGAACTCGCCCTTGATTTTCAGTACATCGATACTGAGCTGCCCCCAGAGTCGCCCTACCTCTATGGCCTCCACCCAAACGCAGAGATTGGCTTCCTGACCCAGACCTCGGAAAAGCTCTTCCGCACCGTGCTGGAGCTGCAGCCTCAGGACAGCCAAGCCAGAGATGGAGTGGTGGCCACGAAAGAAGAAAAGGTGTGTGGTGGGGGCTAACCAAGACCATTCTGGGGAGCCTGAGGTCTGCAACTGGACACCCATCTACTGGCCGTACTGGCAGTATTCAACAAGGCACACAATATGCACAAGGCCCGGGAGATGCTTGCCCTTCACCTGCAAGGACCCTTCCCTCTCCTCCAGTCAGGTCCCCATGCCGCCATCCAGTTAAATCATAGGAAGTCCCTGCCATTGGGTTTGGCAGTTTGCTTTGCCAGTCCACCAAGCTTTTATGCAGCTTGCCTGTCAAAGTGGAGAAAGGACAGGGCTGAACAGTGGTGGCTGGGGAACCTTGAAACTGACTTCATGATTTTCTGGCAAATTAAGTAAGAATGGATGGAGAGCGGCTCCAGCGCACCTCTACCCTCGTTCTACTAACTCGATGTCCATGTGTTTCCTCTAAAACGCCTTCTCTGTGGGTGAATGACTTCAGTCAGGGTCTCTTAACACACAGTCATGTGCTACTAAGTTCAGGACTTCCCGAAATTTTACAAAGGTGGAGAGAAAAACAGATTAGGGTGAGGTGTGGGCTTCAGGACAATCAAGGCAATGTGGGGGCTCTGCTCTGGGATGGGGGTAGCAGCGGGAAGAGGGCCACCAAAAGTGAAACATCTTCATGAAATGTTTCCTAAGACAAGCTAATTCAACTTCTGAGAAATGTGCTTCCACCACCCTAAATCTACCCCATGGTACTGCCTGGATTCCTTTAATTAGAGATGCCATTAGAAATATCCTTGGTAGATTAAGAGTTAGGAAGCCTGAGAGGTTATCATATCTTTAGGACTGATTGTAGGAAAGCAAACTGATTGATACTAAGGAGCTGGACTTTTGTTTAAAGTTATAGAGTACGTCATCAAAATAGTAGTTCTTAAATTTTGTATGCCTAGGAATGAGAGCTTGAAATTCTAATTCTGAGGCCTGGGGTTAGGACCCAGCATTGGCAACCTAGTGATTTTGATGAGGTGAGCATACTTTTAGAAAGTTGCTTTAAATTACACTGCTTGGGCCGGGCTCGGTGACTCAGCCTGTAATCCCAGCACTTTGGGAGGCTAAGGTGAGTGGATTGCCTGAGCCTCTAGGTTCGAGACCTGCCTGGGCGACTTGGCAAGACCTCCTCTCTACAATAAATCAAAACTAGCCAGGCATGGTAACTTGGAAGGCTGAGGCGGAAGCATTGCCAGAGCCCAGCAGGTCGAGGCTGCAGTGGCCTGGAGCGGCCACTATACTCCAGTCTGGGTGACAGAGTGAGACTCCCACTCAAAAAAAAAAAAAAAATTACGCCGCTTGGCCTGTTCTCCTAGTTGATGTGTAAGATATAATTTGAGAATAAAGGGAAGTGCCCATACCATTCAGAATGAAAAATGTTCCTAGCTCCAAAAAATGAGGAAGGCTGAAACTATATAAAAATAGACTTAGCATTCTTCAATCAAGATTCAAAGAAACTTCTCACTCTTATTTCCTTATCCCCTCCCCGACTAACTCAAAACATGGGGGAGTGTGTGTGTGTGTGTGTGTGTGTGTGTGTGTGTGTGTGTGCACACACGCGTGCGCTTGTTTCAGGAATGATCATTTGATGCCATGTGGGACAACAACAAGGATGCAGGTCACTGTGTAGTAGCCCATGCTCAGTCGTGGTAGTGTTTCACCCATAGCTCACATGTTCCTATGATCTATGTTCCTTCCCACCCACATATTAGCTTGAAGAGGGACAAAGAGCCAAAGTCCAGAGAGAGTGTCTCATTATTAGGACGCAAATGACCAAGAGGTTGCACACTCCACATACACTCACGAAGTCTTGACCCAGATCTACTCCCATGTCCACATCTATATGAAGGGAAGGATATTTTAATATATAGCTAGAGAGACAAAGGAAGGGAGAAAGGGAGGGAGGGAGGGAGAGAGGCAGGGGGAGGGAGGGAGAAAAGAAAAGCAGACATGATAGATACATGGGTGGATGGATAATTGATGGATGGATGATAAAGGCATAGAGTTGTATGCACTGAAGGACATGTGTGGGAATATAAACCAAAAATTAACAGTGTTTCTCTCCCTTTGGTGGAAGAGTCAAGATTGTGGAAGGATTTTGCTTCTAATATCATATGTATCTGTAATGTTAGATTTTTTTATCATATGTATCTGTAATGCTAAATTTTTATTACTTTTCTAAAAAGAAAGAAGCAGAAGTGTTTGTGGAAATAAAATGGACCATATCCCTGGGAACCCATTCCTCCCATCTGAAGGGGTCTCTGGCTTCCCTGAGCAAAAGAGGGTCCTGCGTGTGTCTTTGGACCTGGTCCCTTCCCTACCAGCCCTTTCCCTCCTTGGGCCTCCAGACCCTTCAGAGTCTGATCAAAGATGGGTCAGAACTCTGTGTTCCCATATTCGATGTATTTTGGAGCAATACCTCTAGAATATCTTTTCATTTCTTTGTGAATAATTTCCAAATGGAAACTCACTGATATAGGGCTGTTTCTTCAAATTCTGCTCCAGAGACAGAAATATGATATAATTTTAGCCATTTGTCTTCTACCCCAGCAGCAGCTCTCGGGTACCATTAAAATTCTATTCCAGTTTTTGCTATGACAGCACTGAAGCCCCATTCATGACAGGGTGATGGGTTTTCACTTTCTTTTTTCTAATATCATCTCTTTTCCTGGAAAATGTATTGTATGTTAACATACAAGGCAAGGTGAATATTTATCATCCTTTACACTTACTTACACAGTTATTTACACTTATATGGTTCCTTACAGCTTTCAGATATTGCCACACTCATCAGCTCATTTGATTTGGTCTTTGTATCAACTCTGGGAGTTGGGGAAGAGGGGGCAGGTAGTAAAAGATGCTCTTGAAAATTTTTACAGTTGGGAAGATTGAAGCCTAAGTGACTTGATTTCATTCGCTTGGGTCATGTGTTGCAGAACTGTATCCACTCAATCGGGGTTCTTTGGTTGCAGGCAACAGACATCAATTTAGCTGAATGAGGCAAGAACTATATCAAAGGAATCAACCTAAGAAAAACCACAATGGCCCTAGAGTTCCAGGGAGAAAGGAGAGTAGACAGTCCTTTCCCAGCACCTCCATCCTGCCAGTGACTCCTAGGATTTCAGGCTTGAGATTCAAATCTTTGAGCTCCTGGAAAAATCATCTGACTGTCCTAACTTAGGTCAAAGGGGAGGCTGGGCCCAGAACAATGGGTAAGAGGTAGTTTCCCAAAGGAGATAGGGTCTTGTTCCTAGAAGAAGGGGGAAAAGATGATAAACAGACAAAGACAACAGACATCCACTACAGACATCTAGAGCTCAGCTCTTGGTACTCCAGAAAGGGCTGGTGGTCACCTGCTCAATCACACTCTCCCTCTCTCCCTCTGGCCCCAGTCTGCTGGCCACATGGTCTATTATGTCTGCACTGATTTCATTTTTCTTCTCTGCTGACAAACCTCCTGGGCTTACTCATTTACTCCAAAATGGCAGACTCAGCCTCCAAGTGCTTGCCCCAAATTAACTCAGAATCTCTGAGCCTCAATTCCAATTTTCCAGGAGAGAGATCCTGGTTGTTCTAGCTCCCCTGGTCTAATTAGCTGACACTTTGTGTGGGAGAGGAATCATGGAGGTGGAAGAGGAGATTTACATGATAAATGGAACTCGAGAATAGAAACTTCAGTGTCGCCTCACAGGAACTCAAAACTGAGTGTATATGTAGATATACAGATATATTGTATGCAAAGATAGATAAATAGATGATAGATAGACAGATATATGATAGACAGACAAATAGATATACAGATAGATGAGAGATAACTGCTGCTCATCACTTCAACTTCGCATGTATAAGGGCCACCTTTGGCCCAAGTGGACCCTGTGGCTTTTCAGTTTGATTCCCACAGTTGCCTGGGTCAGTGTCTGAGTTTTTCAACTCCCAATTCTTAGAGAGGCTTCTGGGTCCATCTTTTTAAGCTTGCCACACAAGTCACAGGAATCTGGCCAGCCTAGAAGAGGTCATCCTATAGTCGGTCCTCAACTCTGACCTAGTTGACCTAGGCAAGCAGGCAAGAGCATATAACCAGGTGGTGTGGGAAGGAGGCCAGCAGGTGGCATCTGTAGTCCCACACTGCAAGAGGATGAAGCTCTTCTGGAGAATACAGTTTTTTCTTAACTCTATTTCCTGTTGTGGGGCAGGTCAAGGCCCTACTGGAAGAAGTTTTGGAGCGGGTGACAGATGAATTTAACATCCCAGAGTTGATGGCCAAAGTGGAGGATCGCACTCCCTACATTGTAGTTGCCTTCCAGGAGTGTGAACGGATGAACATCCTCACCAGGGAGATGCAGCGCTCGCTACAGGAGCTGGACCTCGGCTTAAAGGTGAGTGAGTTCCTAGGGGACATGGAGGGGTATTGCCAGAGGGCACAGCCAGATCTCCATAGGGAAAGAGGAACACTGAGGGTTGTGGAAGGTGGAGAACAGTTGTCCTATAGCATCCTAAATGCCCAAAGAGTATTATTTCCCAGGAACCAAAGCTTGGCCATAAGGCTGTCTGAAAGAACAATATTGCACAATCTTGACATGTCTCTTCAGCAAGAAAAGTCTACTATTTTTACTACCAATGACTGCAGCAAGTTGACTATCTTCACCTTGAGATGATATAAAGTGCCTAGTATGGAGCTGTTACTACTGTTCACCTGGATGACAGGTATCAATGGGAGATCTTGTTGCCTTTCAGGAGCTGAGGAAGGTGACTGCTGTCAGTGTACATTAGCCTGGTTATTAAAAGAACTGTAATTCCAGACAGAGGAAAAGTGAGAACCCAGTTTCGCCACTGACAGTGAAAGCTCAGATGAGCCCTGGAAGTCAGGTGTGGAACATGCTGGTGCCTTCATGTCTGGCTCTCAGGGTTCTACAACCAGGGTCATGTATGCATAGGAAAGCAATTGTTTTTTCACAGGCAGTCAGATAGAAACTATGAAACAGACTGCATAATCTATGTTAGTGGGGGCTTTATGTTTAACTTCTTAACTTCCTTTCTTCTTCTCCAACCCCATCCCCTGTTACCCCAATATAAACGAAGGGCAATAAGGAAGGCCAGTCAGGAAGGGGATGTTGAAGACTGACAGTGTTTGTTAATGCTTCCAAATTCTTTACCAGCTTGTAATGAAATGAAGTACAGAATTCCACAGAGCAGTCTCAAGTGTAAGTAGGGACTCTGCCTGTTATATTCTGCAGCTCCATTACTGTGGTGTGCAGGTATATGTTAGCAATCATCAAGTAAGTTTGCAGCAGTCTTAGCCTATGGAATCCATGCAGCCTATTTACCCGTCCAACTTCCAAGTCACTCACTCATTTTTCTTCTGAGAGTTTCGCCATGGCTCTGTGTCATGAATTGCAGGAGCATGCCTGGGCAAAGACAGAGGGTAGAGGAGGAAGTTTCTTTCAGTCTAATTCAAGCATTGTTGATTGATGAACTCCTTGGGCAAATCTCAGCACTGCGTGCAAGAGGTACAAAGGTGACTGGAAGGGGTACCTTCTCTTCCACAAGGATGGTTTTGTGGGGGAAACAAACACTCAAACAGATTATAATGCAACGTGGAATTAATTAGGCGCCACACAGAGAGAAGTGGGAGAAAAAAAGAGAAACAAGTACTGCATGTGGCATAAAGAAAGGCCCAGGGAAGAAGTGGCATCCAGGAGGCTCTGGAGGAAGAGTAGGATTTCCACAGGCAGTGACAAGGGGAAGGGGCTTCTAGAGGCACAGAGCAGAGGAGACCAAAGTCTGTTCTCAGAGTTAACCTGATTTGGTTGGAGTAGACAGTCCACTCAGGTGAGCAACAGTGATATGGTGAACTTCCAGAAAGTGACAAAACAGTGGTCCAGAAGCAGCTGGGACCTTTTTCGCCTGGTCCATCTGTGAACTGGAGGACAGACAGAGCAATCTCCATTCAAAACTGCTGTCATGAAAACTCAGTCTCATTAGGATACTCCCCCCACGCTAACCAGACTCTCTGGAGATTTGATCACAAATATGTGTTCCCATCTTCACCCTCCAGTCCTACCAATCTCTGGGAGCAAGGTCTGGAAATCCATCCACATTTTTAGTAGCAGCCAGATAATTCTTATGAAGGGTCAAGTTTGTGAAGGCCAGCATGAAGACCAGCATGAAGGCCAGTTAGTAGAAGAAAAATGTGGACAAAGTATTTGTAGCAAAACGAAGATGCCAGGGAGATGGCAGCTGAGAAAGAAATGCGTATAAGTCTAGGGAAGGGATGAAGTAGTGCTGGCAAGAAATAAAACGGGAGAGGAAGCAGCTAGAGGAGGTGGGAGGGGCTCACAGTATGGTCTGACTGGCTGGGAGGTAGAGGCAGAGGGCCTGAGAGGGGCAGCGTCCATTAAACCGAGCTGCAAGGAACTTCACTAAGCTCCCTCTACAACATTGGTGGAAGGTATGCTTGGCTTTGCTGACTGGCTAACCTAGCAGTGGGCAGGGAGGAAAGAGGAAATTATGTGTGAGGTTGTCCTTTTTTTTACTTTATTTCTTTACCAGTCACTTTAAAGTTCTAGGACTGTTTTAGGTTGAGCATAGAGAAGTCACAGGACAACTCATGTTATCTAATACAAAAAACAAATCCAAATGCTCTACCAAGACGGGCACCAAAGTTAGAAAATGTCTAATTATTTAAGTCATTAAGTCAATACTGTTAGCATTTATCATGAGGACATTTTTTATTCATAGTAATTCATAATTGGCTGGATAGGAGGCCATACTGTCTACCTAAAATGTATGAACTAAGAGGCACCGCACTGTAAGGCCCTGAGGATTGTGGGAACCCTCACAAAGCACTCAGAAGTGGTGGGGTGAGGGGAGTCACCTGGGGAAGGCCAGCTGGCCACAAACATGCTCCCATAAGGAGGAATTCCCGGCTAGGTGTGGTGGCTCACATCTGTAATCCCAGCACTTTGAGGGGCAAAGGCAGAGGCAGGAAGATGGCTTGAGCTCAGCAGCTCCAGGCCAGCCTGGGCAACATAGTGAGACCTCATCTCTGCAAAAAATAAAAACTTAGTCAGGTATGGTGGCATTTTCTTGTAGTCCCAGCTACTCAGGAGGCTGATGCAGAAGGATCACTTGAGCCCAGGAGTTAGAGGCTGCAGTGAGCCAGGATTGTGCCACTGTACTCCAGCTGAGGTGACAGAGTAAAACCATACTTCAAAAAAAAAAAAGAGAGAGAGGAATTCCCTTGAGAATTCACCATAGTCAGACATCAGGCTCCCAGTCCCGCAAGATGAGGAACCAGGTTCTGTGAGTATCCCAGAGCTGATTGGAAGGGGTACTGACTCCCACTAACCAAATGCACAAAAGCTTGATGCACAAAATTCCCGAAGATCAATTTATTATTTTACAATAACAACTAGATATTGTTGTTTAAGGTCAATATACTGCTGGCAAACTTCCCAGAAAATTCTCTATGTCTATAGACAAACTACAGGAGAAAACAAATTCTTAGACTTGTAATATTTGATAACACAGCTATTTATGACAGGTGACTTACTGAGCCTTGAAATATGGATGGTGCAAATTGAGGTGTGCTGTAAGTGTAAATTATACACCAGATTTCAAATAAATAAAACCCCTAAAATTAAAATAGGCCATTAATAATTTTATACTATATATTGAAGTCCTTTATATTGTAGACATGTTAAATAAAATATAAAAATCAAGTTCACCTAACTTTGTTCTTTTAACTTTCTAAAATGTACATGCCAGAAAATTTCAAATTTCCTTTGTGGCTCCCACTTGTGATTTGCATGACATTTCACTCGGGCAGTGCACACCTTAAGTAGAGTCATGGCCAGCCAGAGACTGGGAGGAGATGGAAGCTTAGCTTTATTACTCAAATGTTTGAAGGCATTGAGCTTTGCTCCTATGCTTCAGTGACTGAGTGCCCCTCCTGCCTGACATGTTTCAATTCTAAAGATGTGAAGATGTCCAAACTTAAAGTCTGGCTTGCTGACTCAGGGATCTCTGGCTCTTTACTCTGATGCACTGTGTGTTGACTTAATAGTTCAGGTCTGGAAGGGTGACTTTGCCCTTTAATCCCCACCCACTGGGCAGCTGCCATGCCCTCTATGCCTCTGGTAAACCAGTACTCTACAACAATACCTGGACAGACAGGCTGATACCACCCTCAGCCTGGAAGCCAGACTGGAAGGAGGGGAACCCTTGTCATTTCTACCTCCTTCCTACCTCTCAACTCCCTGTGTCCTGTACAAATGAAAGCTAGTTGCAGAGAGTGTTGGCAAGAGGAAGAGAGGAGCGGACCCTCAGGACAAGGTGCAGCATGGAGCCCCTCAAGGAAGGAGTACCTGGACACTGCTGCCCGGTTCCTGGCCTTCTGTGACCTGAATGCTGACTGAGTGCCTGTGAGCATTCCTCATGGAGGTTCCTGCCCTCACCACCAGAGGTTTCACTTGTTATATTTGGACTGCAGCTTATGAATCTGAGCTTTTAATAAACTTCCTGGCTTAAAAGAATGAGGGACTCCAGGAAAAATGAGGTTTTTACTGGGTACTGTACCTAAGTTTATGAAAGCATTTATTTATAGGGCTGAATAAAGGGGTTAAGGTCACAGCTGGATAGTCCTCAAATCCATGAAAAGATGCCACCCAGACTAGTTATTCCAAAGTTTCTCTGCAATGCTGAAACCAAGGAAGCACATCACAGGCCCCTGAAATGCAGCATTTTCTTAAGAAAAGGTTTCCATGTTCTTTTGTTTGTTTGTTTGTTTGTTTGTTTGTTTTAAAAGACAGCCTGTCACCCAGATTGGAGTGCAGTGGTGCAGTCATAGCTCACTGTAACGTCAAACTCCAGGGCTCAAGGGAATCTTCCTACCTCAGTCTCTCAAATAATTGGAACTACAGGCTTAAGCCACCATGCCCAGCTTTTTTTTTTAGGGTTTTTTTGTTTGTTTGTTTTTTTGTAGAGATGAGGTCTCACTATATTGCCCAGCTTGGTCTTGAACTCCTGGTCTCAAGTGATCCTCCTGTCTTAGGCTCCCAAAACCCTGGGATTATAGGCATAAGCCACACCACCTGGTCATTTTTCATTTTAAATTTCCTTTTTATTGACTCTTGACTTATGATCAGGCAAATGCAGGTACTAGTTGGTATTACATGGGACCCAGGCCAGAGGAATTTAGGAAACTCAGACTTGAATGAACACAAGCGGGTTTCTTTACTGTAGTTTAGCTTGGGTCTTTAAGAAGGTTCATGGACCCAGAGTTTGGCCATAAGATCTTGTCTGTCCACCCCAGCCTCTCCCAATGTGACACCTAGGAAACCAGATTTTTTTCTGAACATCTTTCAGGAAATGTTGA